GAGAAAGCTCGTAGATCAAAAGCCACAAATTTCTCTACAAGATACAAGTTCAAAAAAATAAGAATTCAAGTGTTCAAGTTCAAGAACAATCAAGATCAAAAACGATCAAGATCATGACCATCAAATTCAAGATCAAGCTCAAATCCCTTGAATTTAACTAGAAGTCAAGATCAAGATGAAGTTCAAGTTCAAGTTCAAGAACGATCAAGATCGTCAAGATCAAGATAAAGTTCAAGTTCAAGATCAAGATCAAGATAAAGTTCAAGTTCAAGATCAAGATCAAGATAAGATTCAAGTTCAAGGTCAAGATCAAGATAAGATAAAGTTCAAGATTAAGATCAAGACCAAGTTCAAGTTCAAGCTCAAGAACCCTTAAATTTATAATTGAAAAGACGAATTCAGAGGAATCATAGAGATTGTAACACTCGCACTTTAAATCAATAAAAGGATTGTTGTGAGATTTTTCCGTTCTTGATTATTATTTTCTCGAAGTGAATTTTATTGTCTACACATACGTTTAATACTATGCTAAAAACTTACTCCCATAATTTTATCAAGTCCATATCTTTTTTCTTGTGATAGATAAAGAAAAAGTACATCTTAAACTGAAATCTAGCATATTTACTATTTATTAATTACTTTCACTATAGCACTACTCTATAAAATCTGATTTTGAAAAATAAATCTCAACAAAAAAATTGAAAAGTTGACTTCAAAAAAACATTAAATAAGGGTAGAATTGTAATTTTACTTAGTTTCTTAATGCAAGTGAAATCTAAGATAGTGACATATAAAAAAGAACGGAGAGAGTATATTGATTTATTTATTAGTTAAAGAGGAGCTCAAATGACACATTCACATGTCCACTGTGTGTCCCTATTGGTGTGATAGTTAATCTTCCCTTTAATGAATTATATTTTTCTCTTTTTTATTATTTATCATTTTTATTTTTTATTATAATCATCTTCATAATTTATATTTAATTATCTATTCAATTTCTACAAGTAATATTCATAGTGGTATACGCAGAAATTTTTATAAGCGGTGTCACATTTTAATTTTTTTTTTTAAATATTATTACGTCATATTAAAAATACAATACAATACAAATAAAGTACAACCCACGTATAAATCACTTAACTTGGTAAATTTTCATTTTTGAAATGGATTCAAATAACCTCATTAAAAGTAATACTCCCTCGTCCATCTTTACTGGTCCATGTTTGACTTGGCACCCCTTAAGAAATAGGAAATTTTACTATATCACCCTTATTAATTATCAGTCATTGAACTAACTATTGAAAATGAATAGTGTTTAATGCAAGGTAAAGTGGACACAAAACGGTCAATTATCTCTTAATTATCTAAACTGGATCAGTAAAGTTGGACAACTATTGAATAAATAAAAATGAACGGAGAGAATATTAAACATTTTTTTCTTAAAATGAAGAAAGTATGTATATATAAGGCACCAAACAATCACTAAAAAAATATTACTTTATCTAATTCGATAAATTAAACTTAACTAATTTCATTGATGAGAGGGAAGAGGAAAGGGAAAAAATATAGAACAACAACTAATATTAATGGACAATCTTAATCTTGTCGCATTGGTGTTGTTTTGGCTAGCTGGTTCAAAATTTTGTTCATTCGCACGAGGTGAAGAATAAAAATAAATAAATGAAGCTTTTGAGTATTCAAATTCAAAATTGAGGCATCAGGCCAACAGAGCTGCAACATTACTTATGACAATCAATGCCACTTTATTGGATGTTATCCATTTATTTGTTTTCGCCTTTTGATTATATATACGAATTTAATAATTTTTTTCCAACGAAGCCGTGTCACGTGACACCCCTTACTATAACGTAAATTCGCCCATGAATATCCATAACTCTCATGTTTTTCATATTCATAACCTTCAAATATTAAATTTTAAACTTTACAATATCTTTTGGTATTCCTCCATTTTTATCAATATCATTACATTTCTTTTTGTTTTATGAGACTCTTACCCAAAGCTATCCTTTTCATTTTATAGTTAAAGTAGTGAATTGCTTAAATCATGATAATCACACCTATGATTTGGTTAAGCTATCTAAAGATAGAAAGCTTTAAAAAATAGGTGAGTTTTTAGAGTGAAACATGAAGATAGTAACCTAGCTCCACAGTACAAGGCTAGATTAGTTGTGAATGGATTTAACCAAAAAATATGAAAGTTGATTTTGATGAGATATTCTCTATAATTGTGAAGATGTCATCTATTCGTGTGGTTCTAGGCTTGGCTGCAAGTCTGAATTAAGAGATTGAGCAAATGAATGTTAAAACTATTTTTTACATGGTGACTTAGATGAAGAAATTTATATGGAGAAGCCAAAAAGCTTTGAAGTCAAGGGAAAATAGCATTATGTTTGCAAGCTGAAGAAGAGCTTGTATGGTATAAAACAAGGTCTTAGGAAATGGCACATGAAGTTTGGTTCTTTTATGAGTCAGTAAGGCTTCAAGAAGATTTTTTCAGACCATTGTGTTTTTGTGCAAAAGATCTTTGATAGTGAATTTATCATCGTTTTGCTTTAAGTTAATGACATGTTTGTTGTTGGTCATAATGCTTGCAGGATTAAGAAGTTTAAGGAAGAGTTGAATTAGTTTTTTACTATGAAAGGTTTGGGACCAAGAAGACAGATTCTTAGCATGCATATTGTCTGTGACAGAGAGACCAAGAAGTTGTGGTTATCACAAGACAAGTACGTTCAAACTGAAACTGTAGATGTAGGGCATGAGAAGAACTAAATTCTTGACTATGATAGTCTTACATACTTTAAATTCTCTACAAATTTTGAAGAAGAGCCTTAACTTAATGAAGAATGATCAAGAAACCCTTTCTTGAAATACTTGGATTCATTTCTTGAAAACCCTATGTTTTTTTATGGTAGACTCTTGATTAGAATACATAATAACTACAAAATTGTGAGAGTATGTTTACCTTGATTTGGAAGGACGAACTTTTGATGGACTTTCTCAAAAATCAAGTCTTGAACCCTAGAATTGAGTTCTTGGTTTCACTAGAGATAGGAAAAGAATTTGATGTTAGAATTTTGTACAAATTGATAAGTTTATGTCGTAAGATCATGAAAAATACTTACCTAGACTTAGTAGGGTAGAAGATAGCTTTTTGGGGGCTGTTGGGGTCGACCAAAGAGAGAAGTGAAAAAATGAACTCCAAAATAGTGTTTTATAACTTTAGCACAACTACGTGGGTGATCTACATGACCCTCGTAGCCCCCACATGACCCACGTAGGTCTGGGGACATTTTTGGACGCATTCTAAAAGTGGACATGCAAGCTACGTGACCCACGCAGGCCTATCCAAATGGGTAGCTGCTCTACCACTATTTAGTAAAATGATCATAACCTTTTACTCAGAAATCAGATTGATGTGCGGTCGGATGCTTTGAAAACTAGACTCAAATATATTTAATTTGATAAGTTAAGGGTCACCTAATTCTTCATATACTAGTAGATATGATCGTTTGAAGTTGACCCTCAGATAAACTTATGTGAATGAATAGTCGATAGAAAAGCTTTGAATTCGACTTAATGCTAGAGGTTCCTTAACTTTTGAATTTCTATAATAAAAATCTTCCCAGAGTGAGATACCCCAATTTCTTAGTATAATAAAGTAGCTCAATCACAAAGAAATAATCCTTATCAATATGAAAACTACTACAAATCCTTTTTCTCCAACGGACGATGGGATCCCATCTTCGATAAATACACCCCAATGGTGAAAGCGGGTTATAATATAGTCATTTATAAGATTCTCTCAAAGAGAACCCCAAAATATGCCAACAAAAGCTGGTAGAATATTTCAAAGGAACAGTCCCCCCTCCCCCCCGCCCAAAGGAAAAAAAAACCCTATCTTTATTGAGAATTTTGCAACTTGAATTTACAACCATAGACACTACCTAAAGGGCGAAACAATACATCTGGAGTCATACACTCTCCAATAACATTTGGAGTCGATTGACTTCACAAAGATCAAGTTGAATCTTCAATTAGTGACAACAGATAAAGTACAACATAAACTTGTGAGAATGGACAAACAATGATGAGAATGAATTGGAAACTGAAGGAAAATTTCTCTAGGATTTTTCAAATCTAAAATAATTCAAGTCGAAAAATGTATTTGTCTATGGAAATGGAAGGGGAACCGGTTAAATACATGTTTAACAACATGCGTTTGTTGAATCTGACTCCTAAATGAGTTTTCAACTTGTTGTAACTTGTATCTAATAAAGACAAATTTACATATAGTTTTATGTCCAATTGGAACAAAGTTGAGTTCAAATGCTAAATGATATATAATCATAACTTTTACAAAGATTCTTTGAGTTAAAATAGAGTTTTATAATAATGTTGGAATTAGAGAAAATGTGGTTTCAAATCGTTTACAATTTAGTGAGAACAACAAAACTTAAAATTACTTGGTGTCAAATCAAAGGAATAGAATTTTTGCACATCACAAAAGCCAATTAATTAGTCAAACAGAAAGAAATGTGTTTTGGCTGCATTCGAAGCATTCTCACCTCAACCAACAATGTCCAAATCCTCTAATGTCTCATGCTAATAATATTCGAAATATAATTCTCAGTGATCTCCACGTGTCTAATTCTCATTTGGTAACACTTTAAACGTGCTTTCTTTTTAATATTCATAGTCATATATCCCTACTTTTCTTTCTTTTATACCCCACCCCCACCCCCCACTCCCACCCCACACTCTCAACACTCATTACATTACCAGAACATACACTCTTCACAAGAACGCCATTTTGATTGTATTTGTATTTGTATTTGTATTTGTAGATAAGAGTTTCTAGTACAGAACAAAGTTAACCCACTTCCCCCAAAAAAGGGACCAAAAAACAAACCAAAAAATAAGAGTAAAGTTCAAAGCTTTATAGGGGTCTTCAAAGTTGCTTGTTAGGTCCTCATCTATGCATGAAAATTTTATGTATTTTGCTACCACTATAGGTTTCTCTGTTGTTGCTTTCTTTGAAGATTCTTGATTTTTATTTTTTTGGGGTTTAATCTTTACGGTATTTAAAGACTGCTAGTTCTTGGGTTGTTTAAAAATTGAGTCTTTTTTTCTTTATCAAGAAAAGGGGTTGTGGTTTTAGGCGATTCTTGAGTTTCTTTTGCAATTTCAGATCGATGAGAGTTGGTTGAAGTTTTGAATCAAAGTGAATTTTGGAGTCAATATTTGGTTTGAGTTGTTTGAAAGTTGTATTGAACAAGTGTTAAAGGAAGAAGCTTTGCATATGAGGGTTGAAGTTTACTCTAGTATCAAATATCCATTTGGTCAATAGAGTATTGACTTTTCAGTGTTGGGGAAAGAGTGGTTGTTTGCAAGTAATTTGTAGGTTCAAAGTGTGTGAGGGTTGAGAATGAGGCATTCAGGGATAATTTGATTTCGCAAACCATGAGTTGCAGTGAGAAGAGCAGAGAAAGAGAAGAGGAAGAAAATCCTGTTGGTAGTGTACATAAATATGTTGAAGGTGTTTCGCGGAATGGATCAATAGTACCCTCAACACAATTATCTATTGATGAGAGAGTGTTGGTGGATCCAAAACAACTCTTTATTGGAACGAAAATTGGCGAGGGAGCTCATGGAAAAGTTTATGAAGGAAGGTAGGTAACGCCGTTCTAGTAATGTTACCCATGTTTGTTTAGGCTAATGATTTCAGATAGCAGTTTCTCGTTGTAGATTCGGAGGGTTGCAATAGCAGTATAGAGCTGATTATCTCTGGTGTTCTGCCACATAACATTTCCTACTTTAAAATTGTGATGTTGTAAGACTGTAACTAGTGGATCATGCTTTAGGTGATTGGCCAGTGTAACACTGTTCCATTGGTTTACTAGTTAGGCTACTACTATATAATTAAGAAAATGTAATATGAGAGTTTGCTTGCCATTTGGAAAGGGCTTACAATTGGAAATTGATATATTCATTGATTCTTACATTGTAACTGCAAGTAATTATTTTCGTCTGGTGATGTTTCTAGTGTGGCTATTTTCCTTTGTCTTGTGAAGCAGTCAAACGTGACGATATCTGTCATTTGAACTACTTGAAGATATAAAAAACATTTGTGTATTTTGTTATCTGCTCTGATTTATTGTACATTTTTCATCTATCGAAAAATGCTTCATGTCTCTCCAGGTATGGTGATCAAATTGTTGCAATAAAAGTTCTTAATGGTGGTAACACCTCAGAAGAAAGATCTTCACTTGAAGGCCGTTTTGTTCGGGAAGTTGTTATGATGTCAAGAGTAAAACATGAGAATCTTGTAAAAGTAAGTATCATTTTTCTTTTCCTTCCAAGTTCCTTCAACTCCAAATTAATATTCTGATTATCTTTTCAAAGTGCTGTGTTTAACTTCCTTTGAACAGTTTTTTTTTGTTAAGTTTAGCAGTCAGTGAGGTGTTAGCTAGTAAATATTCACATACACGGTTAATTAGGTTCTGTAGTTAGCTCATATTGCTTCGCCTATTATGTAACTGGTGCTAAACCTTTTACATTTCTTGGGCCATTCACATGATGGTTCGTGTTTGCAGTTTATTGGAGCTTGCAAGGATCCTTTGATGGTTATAGTTTCAGAGCTACTGCCTGGAATGTCTCTTCGGAAGTACTTAGTCAGCATTCGACCAAACGTGCTTGACCTACATGTTGCCTTAAATTATGCTCTTGACATTGCTCGGGCCATGGAATGTTTACATGCCAATGGCATTATACATAGAGATCTAAAACCTGGTACCACTTGGTTAGCCAAGCTGTAGAAGAATTTCTTCTTGTTGTTACTGTAGTTATTCATTGAAATGTTAAACAGGCCAAATATTATGTTTTTGGACTATATTCTTTTATCCATCAATATTTTACAGTTGGAAGAGTTCTTTTTTCTGGGTTATCTTATCATTTTATGTTGGCTCTTCTATGGTCAGTAATCTAAGTACTATTGAAGGAAGAAGTTATTAGTGAATTGTGGTATACATTTCTGGCTCCACCAATCACTTCATCGCTTGCTATCTCACTTTTTTAATTCTTGTAAAAAGAATCTCAAATGTAGTAAAGCCAACAGAGGATAGCAAACTCATATTTAGTTGATATTTTCCCTTGATGCATGGTTCAATTCATGCTCCTAACTTGGAGTATTTTCTTAAGTTGGCATCACTCTCTGTTTACCTTCCCTATTTCATTTGTTAATGTGCATTGTTTTTTAATCTTCTCCTGTCTAAGAAAGAGCACATGTGAAATGTCATTCATGCAGACAATTTGCTGCTCACGGCCAATCAGAAGTCTGTGAAGCTTGCAGATTTTGGGTTAGCAAGGGAAGAAACCCTCACTGAGATGATGACAGCAGAAACTGGGACATACCGGTGGATGGCACCTGAGGTTTGTATCTATTTAAGCACATGTTTATCAACCCCATAATATCACGAGTGAACCGTGTAGTTTGCTCCACTAGGCATGTAAATCAATGCCCCTTTGAAATTTGTTGGTTGTTATATTGTTACCAGATTTTAAAAAAAAAAAGGTTGTTGGTTGTTATTATTTCATATGAATTTATCAATATCTTTTTGTATGAAAGATTAAATTGTTGGTGATATAAATTACATGGTTGATAAAATGGTTAGGGACAGTAACTATAATTCCACTAATGGAACTTGAGAAGACTACACTTTGCATTTTCTAATCTGATAGATTCGTAAAGGCTGGGAATTATGATGCTGAATAGGATTATGTACCTGCTGCATAGGAATATATGCTCAAGTAGTGACCCATCAGAATTATTTGCAAGTTAAAGGTGAAATATGACACAGTAAATGTGTTATGATCCCTGGTTATAGATCTAGTTATTGGACACTGCAAGATAAAATCTAAAGTTCTTTTTCTACGACCTATGGTGTAATGTTGGTGCGTTAAGAGAAAACCTGCAATCTCTTGAGTTAAAGTATTCAAAAACTGAAATTACTGTTCTGCTTCTCTTTCCTGTGACAAACAAATAGTTTTAATACAACACTTATAAGATAACTACCCCTAGAAACTAGGACTTGACTTCCTAACATTACTGGAATGAAAAATGCACTATCACAGGAAAATAACTACTACTAAAAAAAATAACTACTGCTGTAACTATTGGATGACCAAGGAGTGATAACATAACTCTCCTCCTTCAAATCGCACTTGTCCTCAAGCGCTAAGTGCGGAAATTAGTATTTCCCTCCTTTCCAGCAAACTCTTCCTCATCGTCTATAAAGTCAATCCAGAATAATTTCTTGCATTGATGACCTCGAGTGAATGGTTCATCACAATTGAAACAAAGTCCCTTAAGTCGCCTTTCCTCCATTCCAGATCTGGTTAGTTTCTTCACAAATCTGGCATGTTATTGAGGTGAGAAATCTGTTGTCTTGGATTTGCAAGCATCTAACGATTGTGAGCAAATGGGTTGTTCCTTGCGTTCATAAAGTCAGGATAAACTCATTCGTAGCAATTGCTATATAATCAGTAAGACCACATATATAAAGTTTAATTTGTTGCGACTAAGTGAGTGAACCAGCCTGCGAAATTAACTGCTCAAACTTTTCTTGGTAATTTGCCATAGACCCGATCCGGCATAATTTAGCCAATTCTCCCAATTTCTGACTTCTGATTGGTGGCTCGAAGTGAAGGTTACATTGACATTTGAATTCATCCCAAGATGGTTGAGGCATATCTATCTTTAGTTGAAGAAACCAAAGTTGTGAGTTGCCTTCTAAATGAAAAGAAGCAAGTCCAACCTTTTCTTCTTATAGAGTTTGTTGGTGTCAAAAGAAGTGTTCACATCTATTCAACCATCCCAAAGGGTCCTCTTGGCCATTAAATTGTGGGAAATCCAACTTTGTATGTCGAGGAATGATGAAACTTCCTCCTATTTCTGATCCTGACTCTCCTGCCACTTTCTTTATTCCCTTCCAACCGCGAATCTGTCTTGTATTTTCATTTGAATCAGAATCGACCTTAGAGTTCTCTAAATCCTTTGCGAGTGCATGCAAATGAGCATTTATGCTTTCTGTCTAGCCAAATTGGTTGCACGTTCTTCTTGGAACAAGTTCACCAATTGTGCGAGTTGATGTTGAATTTGGTCTCTCATAACTCCCGTCTCTGATACCAAGTTGTTATGATCCCCTGTTATGGATCTAGTTATGGAACACTGCAAGTTAAAATTTGGAGTTTTCTTTCTACGATCTATGGTGTTGGTTCATTAAGAGAGAACCTGCAATCTCTTGAGTTAAAGTACTCAAAAACTAAAATTACTTTTCTGCTTCTCTTTCATGAGACAAACAGATGGTTTAAATACAACACTTATAAGATAACTACCCCTAGAAACTAGGACATAACTTCCTAACATTACTGGAATGAAAAACTGCACTATTACAGGAAAATAACTACTACTAAAAAGAAGTGCTATAACTATTGGATGACTAAGGAGTGATAACAAAATGTCATGATTTGAAAACCAAATTTACATCCTATTTACCCACCTCTAGAAATTGTAGCATGCAAAAGGAGTTTCCTTAACTTATACTCCCTCTGTCCACTTTTAATTGTCATGTTGCGCTTTTCAAAAGTCAATTTAACTAATTTTCAAAGTTAAATTAGATTACATTAATTTGATATTTTAAACAAAAAAATTAGATATTCAAAAACTGCACGAAAAGTACTATAAATTCCAATTTTTACATATCAATATGTTGAAAAAATATATCGTAAAATGTTAGTCAAAGTTATTATTGTTTGACTCTAAAAAAGGTTAAAAGTGGACGGAGGTAGTATTAAAAAGGAAATCTATGCCCCCAGGGATTTGATTGTGGTAAGAGCAAAGTGCCTGATTTGAAACCTGCTACATACAAAAGCATGATATTTAAGTGGGGACGGGTGAGGAGGGTTGTCCATTATTCACCAAGTTAAGAAATTTGTGTCATTGTTTCCCAGGAATTTTTCGGTTATCCAAAGAAAACTTTAAAAGAAAATCTGCGTAATTTTTAATTTCTCTTCTGTTCTTCTGATTTCTGAATCACACAATATTATGATCTTGATCTGAAGCAAGCTTTGAACTGTTTCCTTTTTAACTTTCGAAGGTCAAAATGGACTGTGTACTTTGGCATGATGATAATCTTATCCAATTTACTATCTTTAAGGCTGTTCTATGTTGTTGTCATCATTTTCCAAATCCCCTTGTAAACTACTATCCTTCTTGGTTAATTTGGTAATTTGGCGCCCTCAAAAGTGTATTGGTTTTGTGATATTCCTACTGTAATTCCCCAATGAACTTTCATGAGTTAACTATATATTTTATGATGTGATGGTGCACTAGTGCCTTTATCAAGTTCAAATCTTTTGTCCTTTCTCTCTTTGTACTTATTCATTTAAATATGTTCTTACTTGGATCAGTTTCAATACGTTTTCTATGTTTTATCCTGAATTTTCAAGGTTTCCCAATTGTCTGAATTAATTGTTGTTGCAGTTGTACAGCACTGTTACATTGCGTCTGGGGGAGAAGAAGCATTATAATAACAAGGTCGATGTTTATAGTTTTGGTATTGTCTTGTGGGAATTACTGACAAACCGCATGCCATTTGAGGGAATGTCGAATTTGCAAGCTGCTTATGCTGCTGCTTTTAAGGTACAAAGTGTTTTCTGTCATCATCAAGCTTTTCCTTAGTATATTTATTGCAGTACAATCGAGTATGCTCTTTGTTATTTTGATTATGACAGTAAACTCAGCCACCCTTTGGATCAACTTCATTAAGAATCCCAACCCTTGAGCTTGGCTTGCCTGAGGATTGGAAATTCTTGATCTACTATTCACTTTTGGCTTGTGCAAAAACAATATAGATAAGGCCGAACTCATTTTTAGATTCATAGATGTGAAGTGGAAGAGAAAAATAAGAGAACTCGACTTGATTATTCCCTCAAGCCATTGTGGTTGTTTACATGTCCTAAAAAGGAAAGGAAGTCAATATCTAATTACAATAGGAGTAAATTAAACTTCATAATATATTTACATTTATTCTAGAATATTCACAAGGATTATAACACTCCTCAAGCTGGTGCATACATATATCACTTGTTTTGTTACTGGCTAGGGACTTGGCGGTACCAACTGCTGTTTGAGCCATCTTCTTTCCTTCAGTGTTTGCAAAAACCAACACTGCCATCAGACTTGGGAACCTCTGGTGACAAATGGAGAATTACGGTTCAATAGTATTTTTCTCCTTTCTTCTTCGAACCTGATTTGGATTTAGCAACCTCAACAAAAGTACCTCAATGGACCAAGACCCTTAGTCTGATAGTGCGGAAAAAGGTGATGTTTCAACTTGGTAATTCCCTCGTCATCATTGCCTGTGATGACTATGTCATTAGTGTAAACCACCAAATACATGCACAACTTGGATCAAAGTGATGATAAAACCCAAAATGACCAGCTTCATTTCGGATCATGCCAAATTCTTGAATAACCATGCTAAATTTTTTGAACCATGCTTGAGGAGACTGCTTCAATCCATAAAGTGCTTAGTTGGTCCATATATATCTCATCTTCGAGATCCCTATGAAGAAAAATGTTTTTAATATCTAACTGGTGGAGAGGCCAATGACGAACAATAACCATATAAGGGAGAAGGTATCACCATTGTCAAGATCAAAAACCGTGTATAACCCTTGGGGGCTAGTTGTGCCTTTAGGCGATCAATCTATTCACTGGGGCCAACCTTCACAGCATATACCAAACGATAACTAATTGTAGACTTTCCTGGACGTAGAGGAACAAGCTCCAAACCACCACTAGAGTGTGAGGCAAACATCTCCCGAATCATATCCTGTTGCTAGTCTAGATGAGAAAGAGTTTCGCTTGTCGTCTTAGGAATAGAAACATATATAATGATGATACAAAGACAAAATGCGCCGGTGACAAATGATGCCAACTCAAACAAATATAGATAAGACGAGGGTTGCGAGTATAATTATACATTTCTGAGTGGCAGTGGGAGAACTTTGTGTTGACAAGTCCACAACAAGCAAGGACTCTGGTGGCAGTCGTGAGTCAAATGGACTAGATGAGGAGTGCAGACGACGATAAAAAATCAAAAGTGGTGGAGGTGGAGCTGAGGAAGATGGAGCGGAAGTATAGACTGTGGGATCCCCAAAAGATGGAATTGGTAAGACCTAAAAATGTCCATAAATTTAGCATAAATTTAGCATAAGAGGATATTAAATTGGGGTGACCTTGAAAGAAAGTAACTTTCGAGGACATAAGGTATAGCCAAAGATCAGGTGAGTATTATCGATAACCCTTTTGAACCCTTCTCGTGTTGAGGTCCTATATGAAAAACTGTTACTAAAGATTGATATGGAACAATTTATGCTCTAGCCAAACGAATTATTGACAGAAGGCTAAAGGGACAACCAGGGAGCAAAAGAACATTGTTTAGAGTCAAGGAAGGTGAAGAATTGACTTGATCGACTCTAGTTGCCATAGTCTTAGAACCATTAGTTAAGTTTAAAGTTGGAAGGGACTGAGAAAAAATAATATTACTCCCTTCGTCCCAATTTATATTACTTACTTTCCTTTTTAGTCGGTCCCATAAAGAATGTTATGAGTACGAAACCTGACTGCTGAACCCAATTTGGTATTTAAGTGGAGAATGTTACCGAGGTTGCGTGGGAGGGTCTATATCCTCGTAGTTCGAAAACTAAACTTTATGTTTGGGTTATCAAAAGTAAAAATGATTGCATTATCAGCAGTGTTGTCGAAGGTTCAGCAGTGTTGTCAAAGGTGTGCTTAAGCCCCGAAGCAAGGCTCAAAATGTGTTGAGCGCTTCGCTTAATGTGCGCTTCAGTGCTGTCATCAACGCTCTAAGACGTACTTTTCTTTGCCAATGAACCTCTTCTGAAGAGGCGGCACTAACCAATTGATATTCCACTTTATCGTATTTTTTTTTCAATATTTTTTTCCTTTTTTGAGAAGGTAACAATTTGTATATATTTATCAATACAACACTTAGGTTGTGCTAAAACCACATTTACAAGTGAAAAAGAAGAACAAAACTGCTTCTTCAGCCTAACAAAAAAACAAGGGTGTATCATTGAACCAGTATCTACTATGTATCTCTGGTTAACCCAAAAGCAGAAAAGTCTAAAGCAGTTCAATTTAATCCTCTGAACTGAACTGCTAATGTCTTCAAAACATCTGGAATTTCTCTCTTTCCAGATTGTCCACCAAATGCAAGCCAGGAAAATCCTCCATCTATTTTTTTTTCTATTTCTTTGTTCATATATTAGTCATTCATGCTTATAATTATTATTAGTGTTCGACTATATATATTTTATATTTTTTCTCCCTTTCTACTTTTTTTCATCATAGCGCATGCTTTATTTGCACTTTGCGCTTGATGCCCCAACAGACCATAGAGCTTTTTTGTGTTGTTTACTTTTAACAACCGTGGTTGTCAGATACTTAAAATCTTTTGATTGGTACTTTCTGTGAAGCATTCATCTGTTCCTCTCCAACCATTTATTCTAATTTAAACATTTTAAAATTGAGTTTCAACTTTCTATTTCTGTTGGAGTAACAACCACTCCAACTAACTAAGAAGTCCTTTCGCAATGGGGGAGCTCACCCAGGTAATGCCACAAAAGGAGAGCAAAAATGCACTTACCCACCACTTGCATTTAATCTAGAGGAAATGCGATCAACGGTTTCCCTCGCTAGTTTTTGAACAATTCATCTAATGATAATGCAGTGTTCCTTTGTTGGTATATATATAATAAAAGTACCTCACTTTCTCTCTAGAAGAAAAAGAATAATTCAACGTGAAGTTGCTGCTGTTAAATCCTTTGGTGTTCTTCAACCGAACATATATTGGTTGACTTCTTGCTGATAAGCAGGCTTGCTTATGCCAAGAAGCTTATGTTGTGCCTTTAAATCGGAGTGTATCACTGAGGCTGTGACGAGAGTCTTCACTGGTTCTTATAATCTCAGCTGTTTGTCTTCCATGGGTATTTTTAGTCTAAGTAGAGGTTTATATGTTCAATTAGAGATAAATGGAAGCTGGAGAGATCCTCTAGTTCTAGAGAACCTTTAGTCGGTTGTAAAAGACTAATTTTCTTATAATTGGAAATGTTATGGCTACAGAGAATTCATGATGTAGGGCTTATATAGCCTTGGTCTCTCCCACCTCAATAGCTAGCTTTTGGGGTGTGGTTGGGTTGTAGCTTGTTATCAGACCCACCCACCACCCATTCGTGCCCGTGCCTTTGATGGTGACACCGGCATTGTAGTGTTGGCCCGGGGATAGAAATGGTCTAACGCACAGCCGTCTAGGATGACAGATATGGAGCTGGGGGTTTGTAATGATCCTATTGCAAGGTATGAAACTAAAGTCTCACATTGATTTGATGTGGAGCTAATGTGGGGCTTATATAGCCCTGGGCTCTCGCACCTCAATAGCTAGCTTTTAGGGTGTGGTTCTCCCGGAGTTGTATCAATTCATCTTCTTAATAATAGAAAAATTCCGAGAATCAGTGGTAAAGGGATTGAAACTTGGTGGATAATAGGTCATCTCTCCAACCTCTTCCCACTCAAATACCAAACCTTTCTCAGTGACAGGATTTGAACTTAAGGATGTGCCTAACCACACATCACAGACTGTGCTCATCAGTGGCGGAGCCACCATATCTTTAGGGGTTCATCCGAACCCCCTTCGACGGAAAATTATATTATTTTTACATGGTTAAAATAATTTTTTAGGTATATATAGTAGTTGTCGAACCCCCTTCGGCTACTTTGTGTGTCTATTTCTTCAGATTTTGAACCCCCTTATCAAAAATTCTGGCTCCGCCACTGGTGCTCATACCACGAGACCAAAAGCTCGGGGATGGGATTTACAGAGGATTCATATAGCTTATTTCAACAAATTTAGTATTGAGAAATAGTTAATTGATGGTTGTTTTTATTAGTCTTTTTAGTGGGGCTAGGAGATGAAACAATAGGGTGGTGATGAGACTGTTTTAATTAGTCCAGGCCTTTTACAAAATTGAGTTTGGAGAAAGAAAGAGTTTGATCCTATGAAAGGTGATTGCTTTGATGAGTGAGAGACCAGATACGAGAAGATCTGAAAGTAAGTGTAATAGGTATCATTGTTCTGCAGCGCTTATGTGTATAAAAGGGTCAAGATAACAAATCATATCACATGAAAATAGAGATGTACAGAACCTAAATTAGTTGAAGTTCAATAGGCACTCAAGCTGCACAGGGTAGGTCTTCAAGGTTTTGATACTGATAAGATTACACATGATAAGTGAGCCACACTCAACTTTTCACAACTTGACCTTTTTTGCTTGCAGCTATATCCTTACAAACTTCTCAAGTACTAGGTGGTCTAATAAATGGTGGCATGACAAGAAGCATTTCTGTATGCCAACATCAAAGAACATTTTACCACCTCAAACTAAAGGGTACTAAGTGTTGGAGGATGTGACCATCTCATTTAAAAGCTTAAGCGGTTAGGAAGAACACACTTTTAATTACTGAATTATATTGTCTCAACACGCCTCTTCACATGTGAGCCTAATTTTTTTTTAACCAAACTCATGGAGTATTTTTCTTGCTAGGTGGTGGCGGTGAGATTTGTACCCAGAACTTCTTGCCTGCTCTAGTATTATGTTTAAATGCATGACCATCTCATCCAAAAGTTTAAATACTTGAGAGCACATTTTTGATTACTTAATTATATTATGTCTTAACTCTCAATGTTAATAAAAATATACTTAATGGCATTGAGACATAAATGTTACCAGATCCTCTTTGCTAACAACTCCTAAGAAGGTTCAATCTTTTTGCTACTCCCATCCGACCAGAATACTCAAAAGCAAAAAATGCAAAAACTATCCGTCTATTGTGGCTTTAAACTCAAAACAGGAGTAAAGCATGGACTTAAGCGAAGAAAAACACCAATGAAAGGAAAAATAAGAAGTAGAAAGGTAATGCAAAAAAAATGTAACTATAATCACACACTAATTATTTGGGATAAGAAATGAAAAGCTATAATTAAGATAGATATATATGTGAGCGTGTGCAGGTAATACCATGTTAATCAAGTTCAATGACTTTAAAGTTTTTGATTAGATGAAAGGATGTAGTTTGGGTGTGTTTGGTATGAAGGAAAATATTTTCCTAGAAATTATTTAATTGGAAAATAAGTGAGTTTCTTACATTTTCTAGTTTTTGGTAAGTAAAAAAAATACTATCCCAAGAGCATTTGGGGTGGGGGTGGAAGGGGGTGGAATTGTCAAGAGATGGGGGTTGAGGACGTTGGGTGGGTGGGGTGGAGACAATAAACTTGGAAGTTATTTTTGGAAACTTGTTTTCCCTACTTCCATTAGGAAAGTCATTTTCCTCATTTTTTGATCAATCAAATATGAGAAAATTGGAAAATACCAAACACACCCTTAGATTTTTGGATTTTTAAGCTAGATTTCTTGTATTATTAGTTTCTTATTCCTAATCACTAGAAGTTCAGTCATACCGTTTACCTAACAACAAATGTATTCACTTTGTCAAGTATATCCATTGTCTAGTGTTGTGCTCTTAAAGACAAAGCCCATTAGCGAAGATGCACTCACCTTAGGACCTTGTTTCACTCATTGAAGCACCGACTAGTGAGGCAAAGCACATCACCTGGGCTTCACCAAGATTCAGGGTTTAAACATGCTTTAAGTGAGTCTTTAGCCTCAATTATCCCGATAAATTTCTACTTTTCTTTTTGAGTTGCATCGAAATTGTCCGCTTCCCTTGTTAGAATCACAAATTCTTTAAGGGGCTCGTTTGTTCTCATAACAATACAGTTGCCTATTTTTCTATGATGCAAATATTATACGGGCCGTGTTTCTAACGCTTCTCTTGATAATCATACCAAGTCAAATTAGACAAGCAAATTCGGATGGAGAACTAAATTCATCAGGAATGTCCTCAAATGCCTGAAAACCCTTGGTTTAGGCATGTAACAGATTTTAATTTAAATTCTACCACATGCTGTGCATAGTTGTCTAGTTACATTTGTATGATGATCAAGATCATGTCTGCTTCAGGCGATTCTTTCTCTTGATTAATTAGGTTTCATAACTCTTGTTGCAAAAGTCATTGTCAACATTCGTTGATATCCATGCATTACATTTTGGTGTATATGAGGGTAACTGAAGTAAAATTGTGCTCTTAGATGGGATGTGATAATCCCCTTTGTTTTTTTATAGTGATGGTGCAGTTTTAATATTTAACTCTGAAGAGTGTAAGCTAAACTATCATTTGCCTTTTAACTTTTTCCATGAGATACTGATCGTTTTTTTTTCTGGAGTTCTTCTGAGTTAACACATGGTCTTCTTGTTGCTATATGTATTAAATTGGTTTATGAACTGGAAATGCAGCAAGAGAGACCTAGTCTTCCAGAAGATATTTCTCCTGACTTGGCATTTATCATACAATCATGTTGGGTGGAAGACCCTAACATGCGACCAAGCTTCAGCCAGATAATCCGGATGCTTACTGCATACCTTTTCACACTTCCACCACCCTCACCATCTGTACCAGCAACAGAACCTGTGGAGCAAACGGTTGCCAGCAATGGTACTATCGTTGAGTTTTCTGCACGAGCAAAGGGAAAATTTGCTTTCCTTCGTCAACTTTTTGCTGCAAAGAAGGCTAAGAACTCACAGTAAGGTGGCAAATTTTCGACACTCGCTGTTCCAGCTCAGTGACAGGGATAAGAAGTGTTGAACAGAAACAATGTTAGTGGACTAACCAATAAACAAAACAAAGGAAGAAAACATTAGTTATTGTCATTGTAAAGGAAGTTCGTTAAAAGTACTCTCTTGTTCATATCCAATCCTCTCATTTTTATGGGAACCCCTCTGTAGCGTAGACCGTATAGTAACACTTTTCTTTCGCATTATCACTTGGTATCAGGATGATGATGGCTGCTTCCTGACAGATGTTTCTAACAATATATGTTGCTCTTCAGAATGCTATTCATCTGTAGCTAATTTGAATAATATATGTTGCAACTCCTATTCTGAAGTAATATCTTGACATGCCCTTTGATGTTTGAATGAATGCATTTCTGTTGTTTTCATACTAAACAATTCTGTTCTTTGTTGGGTCTTCCTCCATGTTCAAGAGAATCTCATTATTGTTCGTGAGTGACTCGAAAGAGATTCTTTAGAGCCTGTTTGGATGGGTTTAAGATAAAAGTCATAAGTTAGGTTTTCTAACTTATGACTTTTGACTTATTTTAGTTATTTTTGCTTAAAAATACGTGTTTAAAAGTTATTTCAGCTTAAAAGCACTGCCAATTTGAACCGTTAAAACATTTTTTCTGCATCCATATTCGCTTAAATGCGTAATAGGGAGTACAGAAAAAATATTAAGAAAATGCATTATATTGTTGATGTTTTGATTTCTTTTATCAGAGTTTAGTTGAGGTTTTGATTTCTTTTATTTGAGAAAATGACATAAATAGTCCCTTAACTATAGGAGTAGGTCTAAAATAATCCCTTAACTATACACTTAATGTATTTAGTCCTTTAACTATTCATAAATTTATTAGCTTTGGTCCCTTAACTATACACTTAACGGTTTCTGTCCCTTAACTATAAACTTACCGATTTTAGTCCTTTAAGTATTCAAAAACTTATCAAGTTTGGTCTTTGTCCATTTTTAAATACAAATAGCTTATGTTTATATTAACAGAAATCTTCGTGAAATTAAATCTTTAACCCATTTTTTAAATTGTTGTTCTATCCCTGCCCTTTTTTCTTCAAACTACTCTTATGAAAAGAACAATAACGTCAACGATTCAAAATAAAATTAATGAGGAAATAAGATATGAGTCTTAATTTAAGTCAATGGAGGATAAAATTAAACATATAATTGTTGTTAATGACTTGAATATGCTAATCAGTACGGATTTTATTTAATTTACTCAAATTTCTTTACGTAAAATAAAATGAATAAAATAATAAAATTGATCTATTTAAAAAAAAAAGTTGCAAATCTACCATTTTATAAATTTCAATTTATGAAAATTAAACAAATTCCGTTCAATGAAGTCGTTGGAGTACAAACTTTGGATTTAACGGGTAATAATTTTTTTCTTTTTATAGTAAAGTTTAGCATATTCAAGTCATTAGTAGCAATAATATGCTTCATTTTATCCTCTATTGGATAAAGTTATGACTTATATTTTCTTTCCTCGTGAATTTTATTTTAAATTGTTGAGGTTAAGGTTCTTCGCATAAGGTTAATTTGAAGAAAAAATAGCGGAGGAGAGAGAAACAACAGAAAAAATTGCTAAAGTATTTAATTTCTCGAGGCATGAATTCCGTTAATATAAACCTAAGCTATTTGTATTTAAAAAAGGGACAAAGACCAGACCTGATAAGTTTTTGAATACTTAAAGGACTAAAATCGGTAAGTTTATAGTTAAGGGATCAAAATTGATAAGTTTTTGAATAGTTAAAGAACTAAATCCATTAAGTGTATAGTTAAGGGACCATTTTAGACCTATTCCAATAGTTAAAGGACTATTTATGTCATTTTCTCTCTTTTATTTATATAATAATTATGGAAATTTTAAGAATGCATTATATCAATTTCGAAATATGTGTGCTGCAGTTGTAATCTAATCGTGCATCAGACTTTTTCTAGTTGAAGAAAACAGTAGTCGTGGTTTATGCATTTTTAAGTTATAAGCAACAAATAACATAAACGGTGAATTCATATAATTTTATTATTAGTTCATATGTGTTTTTTCCCTTCTCTTTTACTGAATCTATTGTTTCTCTTTATATAAACCGGTTTAGGTGATTCACGGAGCTATTCAAATAGCTAGAGAGGAAAAAAATTCAATAAATTGGCGATGAACGTAAAAGTATATGATATATTCTATGAATACTGCAGAAAGTGAACAATAATGACAATAAGTGAAGTCTAGGAAACGCGATGTGTACCTTGTGAAGGTAGAGATACATTCTACTTGTTTTGGATGGACTTTTAGTTCAAGTAAAATGTATCAAATTTAAGTATGGAAGAAATACAGTAATGAAGAAATCATGTAAAAGATACATGAGAAGAACACTAGCAAAATGAAAGACAAGATGTAATTGAAGCAAAAAAGGAAACAAAAGGTAATAAAATTGAAGAATAAGATAGTAGGAAAAATTAGACAACAAATTGAAGAATAAGATAGTAGGAAAAACTAGACAACAACCAAATACCTATCAACTTTCTATCATAATTCTTGGTAAGTTGTATATGTGTCATATCCTGTCTAGCTAGTCACTCTCCTCAATAGTTATTCGGCTTACATTTACTTCTCCTCATACTTACTATTTCGATCAATTTTCAACTAAGTGAAAACTTTCATAACTTGACAATTTGTTCTAAAATAATTAGAATAACCACTTAATTTTTGAAAATTAAGAAACCAATTTTAAAAAGGTACTTATGAAATACCTTTTAATTAATATCAAAGATTCCCCAAAGTGGGTGTTAAGCACTTCGAAAAATTCACAACTGTGATTGACCAATGATCTTGGGCATATTTATATGCTAGAAGCCAACCATAATTTAGCTAAGTTTGAGGACAAATTCTCATTGTATTGATAATGTTTGGGTCGTGTTTATGCATCGTGATTAACCAATATGATTAGTGGTTGTAGGTTGGGAAGCAAGAGAAAAATGACACAAAGGTGGCAAGAAGTGAAGCGAATGTGGGTCGAACCTCAAAAGCATAAAGGGTGAGTCGCAAAGGAGTTAAAGGAAGAACAAATTGAGAAATCCCCCACCACGTATCCTCTCTGCGTCGCGAAGGAGAAATTTATTATTCCAATCGATGGTTGCCGAGACAGAGGACTACGTATCCTCTACACGTTACGGAGAGGAGGACATCAAGAAACAAGGCAGGTCCGTATTGACCCCGAGTCGCGGACCTACATGTCAATTTTTGGCCGACTTTTCCAAACTATAAATAGACTCAAATTTTATTATTTTAAGGATATTTTTTTTCTAGTTTTTGGAGAACGACGACTTTGACGACTTGTACTTCAATTTTTAGGGTCATTGCTACTCTTTTCATATATTAATTTCTCTTATGATTATTGAACATTCAAGATTGAGAATCAAATTATAAGTAGCTAAATTCCCTTATTCTAAGGTTATGGCTACAAATGATTGTGTAGTATTGAATTTTATGGATTGAAGTTGGCTATCACATAAATTTCTCTTTTGTTCTTGATTTAGTATTTAGTGATTGACCACCATTGAAATAAACTGATTGTCTGACTTGAACTCAAGAGAAGAATAAAAGGATAGAATGTGGGACAAGAGGAGCATGCTCTTATTTAGAGACTAGGGTTGATATGTATCTAGAGTAGGGATATACTTAGAAATTTTGCTTGGTTACTAAACAAGATGAAAACGTAATGCTCTTCAATTGGTTCAATCTATCCCTGCTCAATGATGTAGTTAGACTGCCAATTATGGTAGATGATTAGAGGTCGAGAGACTATGATTATACATTTAACCTTGTAAATCCGTGATTTGATAACCAATTGAAGTCCCCAGAAAAAGATACTATGCATAAATTCTAAGCTGGTTGCATCCCTGGAATTTCCCAAGTCATTGTTTAAACTTTATTTGAAATAGAATCGCTATTAGATAGTTTAGTTTACTTTTGAAGAATTGGTAATTTAGAATTAATCATAAACCTTTCTTGACACACTTTCTTTAAATTAAAGTTATTGAAAATTTCAAATAACATCTAATCTTAAGTCTCTGTGGGTATGACATTCGAATCTTAAACACTTGTGTGTGCGCTTGGATGCAATAAATTTTTGGTGTCGCTGCCAAGGACTTTAGAATTAGGAATTATTTGATTTATCTAATTTCTAAATTTATTTTTCAAGTGTTGACGACTTGATCTTAGCTGTCTTTTGTTGTGGGTTGTTTTCGGACGTCAAAATGGAAGGTGAGAAGGAGTTTATAGAGCCATTTGCTGAATAAAAAAGAATCTTTTACCAGCAGAGAAGGAAAGCGTTCTTAACGTACCATATTCCTCTAGTCGAGGTTGAACCAAAAACACATGTAGCAATAACAGAGATGACAGGATGTGATGTAGTAATCTCACGCACAACTAATGTTACGTCTAACATTCAGAAGCCAATTGCTTGTGGTAGATTTTAGTTGAAAAAGAATATGGTGCAACTATTGCACACTAATGGACAGTTCACTGGTTTACCTCATAAGGACCCACTAGTGCACATTCAGAACTTCGTTGAAATCAGTGACACGTACACTGCAACGGGAGTATCCCCTAACTATGCGAGGATCACCTTGTTTCCCTTCTCTCTATTAGGGGAAGCAAAGAGATGGTTGAAATTGGAGCCAGCGAACCCTATTACATCATGGGATGATCTTGCTCGTAAGTTTTTAATACGGTTCTTCCCATCTGGGAAGACAACCAAGCTAAGGAGTGAGATATTGAGTTTCGAACAGAAAGATGGGGGGAGGGGGAGGAATTTATACCATGCATGGGCTAGATTCAAATCATTACTCATAAGTTGCCCACACTATCATCAAGTGAATGAAGTCTTAGTCTACACCTTTATTGAGAGTTTGGAAGCAAATACAAATTTTTTGCTAAATTTAGCTACAGAGGGAAAGCTTGGGAGAAAACTTATACGAAATTGTTTGCTTTGTTGAATCGATCTCTCAAGGAAATCCTGAGTGGAATAGAGGAGACGCTAGACCTATAGTACAGAAGACTGGTGGAGTATTAGAGGTGGATGCAATTATTGTTTTAACTACACAAATTGCTGCAATGCAGAACATGATGAAGACCCACTTCAGTAATATATCATTAGGACAACACCCCACTAAGGTAAATATGGTACAACAACCGCAAGCATGGTGCAAGATATTTGGAAGCGGTGAGGATAAGGCTGATTGTTATGGAACGAATCCAGATGCAGGAATTTTGTAGATAATGCACAACGGGGAGGGGCCACCAAAACTATGGAAACACTTAGACTCCTAACTGAGGGAACCATCCAATTTTTATAAGGAGGAAATCAGAATCAGGTGCAGGGCCAAAATCAATATCGACCTCAAGGTAATTGACAAAATTATCAATATCAGGGCCAAAGTAATAATCAAAGTGGCCAGCAAGGAAACATGAGCATTGAAGAGATGTTGAAGAAACATGAGCATTGAGGAGATGTTGAAGATAAAGTAACTTCCATACATAAAGTAAGGGGAAACAAAAATCAAAACTTACCCTAAATAAGAAAAAGAAAATAATCGAAACTTTCCTTACTCCTCACCACCCGAAATGAGTCCAAACTTTGAATTTAACATCCAACCCCGATTTGAGACCCGAATTTTGATATCTCGATCTTGACTCAGGACCATTCATTTATTTTATTTTTTTAAAATTTTAAAAATACATGAAAAATGTTTTCTTTCATATCAAACACACCTTAAAGGAAGAAAAATAATAAGAAAAAAATCTTGTAATATAAGTACCTATTTCTCTACGTAATAAGAAGAAAAGGACAATATGCATACCCATATCAACTATTGGGTTTATCCATTTTTATTCATATTAAATATGAGTTGAGTCGAGTATTTTGTTCATTTTCACCCGACTCATATTCGACTCGACTCTTATGTGTCCCACCCCTAGCCATGACATATAAAAATATATAGTCAAAGAAAAAATTGATTGACTCTCCTAATTTCATATGTGCCGCATAAATTGGAGTAAATTAAAGAAATTTCCAATGATTAAAAAGACATTTTCACAAATTTAAACATTTTCAAATTACATTAAAAGTGTTATAAATCATAAAAATTAACAACTTAGAATAATTAAAAAATTAAAAAATTATGACTGATATATTTTTCATTGACTCTTAAAATTCTATTATATCATACTCTCGCAGTCCCATATTAGTTGACCATCTTACTAAAAATAGTTGTCTCATATTAGTTGTCAACCTTACTAAATCAAGAAAGCATTAACTATTTTTTTCATATATTATCCTTGCAATTAATTCTTTTTGAAAGCGTTCACATTTATTTCTAATATTTCCAAAAAGTTTTTTAAGGGGTGAATTATAGTAAAATTATCGTCTTATTCATGAATTCTTAATATCCGAGTAAAAAGAAAAAAAATGATCAACTAATATGAAACATGAGAGTATATTGTGCTCGTGTTGATACAAATTTCTCTATATAGTACTTCCTCTATTCAACAATAGTTGTCTATTATTGACTTGACACACCCTTTAGAAAACAATAAATAATAGGGGTAATATTACTATATTATCCTTTTGACTTTATTAAATTTAATGTTTTGAAAAATGTGTTAGGTAATAAATAATATTTAATAGCAAGAGTAAAATGTCTCAAAAGTTAAATTATCTCTTGATTTTCTAAATTGAATAAATATTATTAGACAATTATTTTTAATATAGTGGACAACTATTATTGGACGGAGTGATTACTTCTAATAAATTTCAAGTGGGAAGCAAAGGTCCAAAGATCAACTCTTAGTAAATGTTTACAAAACTCCCATCTCCAACTTATTACTTTTGTCATTGTTTGGTCAACTCTAATTAGTGTTGATAAAACAAAATCAAATGCAAATGTTCACTTTTCAAAAACAGGAAATCTGTTTTGGTTCATGTTTGGTTAACTCTAGTTAGTGTTTTACTCCTTTTTTGAAATAAAATCTGATTTTCATTAAGAGCCCATTTGGATTGGCTTAAAAAATTATTTTTTAAGTAAAAAATAAAAAGTTAAATTGAAATGGCTTTAAGTAACAAAAAAGAAAGTAGGGGGAGACCTACTTTTGATTCTTGACTTATTTTAGTTTATTTTAAACTTATTTTAAGTCATTTTTTTTACTTGGTCAAACACTTCTTAACTTATTTTAAGATATTTTCTATATTTGTCAAACACATTCAGAAGTGAACAACGGACTTAAAAATACATTTGACCAACTTTTAAGCCAATTCAAACCCCCTCTAAGTCAAACAGGAAACTTTTAATACCTCTTTACTCTCCAAATAGGACTTTTCATTTGTAAAATTTGTTTTATGGTTAATTGATTGTAATTTTCCTTTTTTGTTTAATTTTTTAAAATCTAAGTTTGAATTTGAATATAGGGATAAATGTGCCTTGATGAGTAAAGACAAATAAAAAGACTTTCGAATATGATAAGTCAAAGTCCCACTCACGTGTACGCCTTGTGAGCCGTCCGATCACATCAAAATTTTATACAATGAGACTAATCAACGGTTCAGATTCAAAGTAAGGTAAACAATTTCCCCCAAAGTAACAAAAAGTCTGAACAGTCATTCCTATTTTGGACATAAATGTTAAAATTAGATACTGAAATACAGATAGTAAACAAACATAAGAAGTTATTAAGACTATATATATACACAAATTTATGTTTATATATAGAAAATAAAAATGCCCATGGAAGATTCAAAATCAAGATAGGGTAAATATTTTCTTTAGTCAACTTCAAATTTCTTTAGTCTCATTTGTTTGAAGAATTGGATTTTTAGAATTTTTTGTATTGGATTGAAGTTAATTTTGGTTAAGAGGGATGTGATGGAGGAAAAAACAGCAATTCATACAGTAATAAATGCAGTAGAGGCACTTGGAAGGGGTTTTGATGTAAATTATGATACAAGGTTGTTGTATTGTAAGGGAGTGGATGGGTCTAGGGTTGTAGAGATTAATGAAGAACATACAAGGGATCTTTGGTTATATGACGATGTTATTTTGCAAAATGTTTCAAAAGATATTAGCAACTTTCAAGAATCTGTTGGTCGCGATGGAACTAGTGTTTGCTCCTATAATGAGGTATGTATGTATCATGTTTTTAATCAACTCAAAATCTTTTGTTTGTGGATTCTTTGAAATTTGAATTGAAAGAATAGTAATTCAATGTTGTTAGAAACCAAAATTGTTTAGGATTTTGGTATGTTAATTTATGTCTAGTTACCATTTATAGTCAAATTGATATACAAATAGGTTTTTTTCTGTTTTGAGTTAAATGATGTTACCTATTTTCATTGTGGAAATTTGTAGAGAGCATTCAAGGATTATTAGCTTTTGAAATAAATATTTGTCTTGCTTTTATTCATTCAACTAATTTATTTTTTGTAATATAAACGTCAATCAACTAATAATAGTTATCTCAGAAATTCATTCAATTTTGTTTTGTCAGAAAAAAATCACTCAACTAAAGTCATTTCACCTACAAAGTCTCTCAACCAATTCAAGCAACATTTCCGGCAGATATTGCCGATGTGGAGTTATTTAAAAGCCAATTTTTTAAAAGTAAAAAGCGGATCAATTTAATAGTTGATTAGAATAAATAGCTTTTTGTTTTTTTTTTTAAAATTATGTTTATAAAAATTTCCACCTCAGCAATATTTACGGAAAATGTTGCTTGGATTGTAGGAGAAATGACAATAGTTGAGTGACTTTTCTATTACAAATCAAAGTTGAGTGACTTTCTAAGATAATTATAATTAGTTGGGTAAACTGTTAGTTGAGTGGCGTCTGAGAAACTAACTCGATTAAAAATAAGTGCTCTAAGATTACAGTCTCATGTTTGAAATCGGAAACATTGAACATTATGATAGGGTGTATCCATTTAATTGTTTTGATCAGTAGTCTCGATACTTCATGCTATGCTCAAGTTGCAACCTTGAATGATTCTTTGGTTGAAGTAGATTTCTGTTTTATACTTTTTTGCTTTTCTGAGGAAGAAAAGTTAATCTCATCTTGCACCCTGTTGTCAGTTAATGGTATTTATGTATATTTTTTGTATGGATTGTGCTACTATTTTATTGTAGTAATTTCAGGCAAAAAAGGCTGTTTGTTTAGGCCAATTTCCAGTTAACGTTAGTAATGAACATTTTTGGTATTTATGTTCTGCACGTTGCTGATTTTGTTGTATGAATTAAACATTTGAGGAGAAAATAGTCTCTTGTTTAGGCCTGTGGTAGAGATGAACCGAAGAAAGAACGTTTAACCAGATTTGTTGGTGTGGGGCCATTAGATTAGAGGTAAAAAATGTGTGTTTCACAAGCATCTGTAAATGTGATATGAATATTTTAATTTTCTATTTTTTCCTCGTCGAGGAAGGATTTGTATACATATAAACTCAAATTAGGTATGATCAGTTGATGATAAAAGGTGACCTAGGTGAATCCTGTTAAGCTAACCTCAAACTAACATTATCCCAGGCTTGTATTTGGGTGGAAAAGTTGCACAAGTAGAAAAATATAATTAGCATAAGTCCTTATCACCATATACATAGTCACATAACAGACAGGAGGAGGAAGGGTGGATGTGCAAATGCAATATTTAAAGTTTTCAATGACGATATCTTCAGAGATTTCTGTGTCAGACTAACTGTTTAGTTAGATGGTATACTGAAAAGGCTAATATAGTGGTCAGGTTCCACAAGAACAGTTTGTTAGGGACTAGATGATTACACCTCATCTTTCTACCACATGATCGTAATGGATGTAAATGCTACTATGGCCGAAATATATGAACATTACCTTATCTGCTCATTTTTTTTGGTTAAGGGGAGCATGCTATGATGGTATATTTGTACGTTGTAATCTTGAGATGATGGAACAAAATGTAATTTTTAGGAAGAAAATATGTTCTCAAAGAAGTCGTTCACTTCCGGAAACAGAAAACATACACATTCATATTTTGTTCATCTTTTCCATCAATATCATTGGCTCTCTTCATGTGAATTCTATATCGAGAAATGGCTTTCCTTTCTTCTCTGTATCAGTCATATTTCTTGGAAATAATCCGTGAACTATAGTTTTCACAGCCTCATTTCTATATTCCATTTACCTTTACTTGTACCTTCAAATATTCTAATTGGAACTTAGTTGACGGTGATACTCGCTTTTTGTTGATTTGTAGTATCATCTGATAATCCAGTTTCTCGAACTTTTCCCACCTAATGCATTTGATTATTGTTGATTGCAGATGGTGGAATATTTTAATAAAAAGGCTAATCTACCAGGCCATGCTCCTCTTGGTAGCTTCAATGTTGCATTCAGTTATACTGGTTCAAAGAATATAGATACCGCTAGTACAAAGACGCTTTGTATGGATGGATTTTTCATACCGCTTTCTAATCTTCAACTCATGACTTCCCCTCTTGTTTTACGGGAAGACGTTAAAAGAGCTGTGCCAACATCGTGGGATCCGCCAGCACTGGCAAGGTTGGAATTCATCTTCATTGTTTTTTTGTTACAAGTGTCTATGGTTAAGGTGTAAGATACCTTTACAAGAGCTTCTATTATCATCTAAAGCAAGGGTTACTTCTGTGACTTACAGCTTCATTGAGAATTTCGGAACGCATGTAATTACATCTGTAACTATCGGTGGAAAAGATGTAATTTACGTTAAACAGCACATATCATCACCTCTATCCACAGTAGAAATAAAAAATTACGTTCAAGACATCGGAAATCAGAGGTTCTCCAGCACAGGAAGCCTTACAAGTTCAGGTTTATTGAAATACAAGGTTAATGCTAGTTCCATATATTTTCGTTGGTTTCAATCTCTGAGAACCTATATTTTTATTACGGTTTTATATAATCTGTTTCACCCTTTGAGATATACTCTTATGTTTGTGTTCTGATTCTTCCTTTTGTTTAATTTAGCAGGCTGCTGATCCATCAATTTTCAATAATCAGGGGATATATCCCCAACCCACTAGTGCGCCATACATTTCTGGAAATGGAAAAGAGGTTTGTCACCTTCCCCCCTCTTCCATTTTCTTTGTTGTTTTTTCTGTAACTTTTTAAATCTTGTAAGCTTCGCTGGGATAACTTTAGGATGATGAGAAGAGCAAAAAATTCAGTGTGTCAATTGTCAAATGTGTTGTACTGTTGAGGGTGAAATATGCTAGCCTATATATATATATTAGAGGATGAATACTTAATTAAATGAAGCATGACAATTGGTAAAAAAATTGTATGCTTCCTAGGCATGTCAAACACATGATATGTTGTCGTAACTCTGTGGTAATGAAATACTTTTTTCCTCGAGATCCGAAGTAAAAGCTATTGTGTTGCCTCTAGCCTGTATGCATCTGTATCCTATGTACACAATATGTATTTAGTGGAATGACAAGATTGTCCTTCAAACTAGGTAATAGTCTCACATGAATCTCATATTCTGTCTCAGTTAGATGAATAAAGCAACAAAGGAAAAAAGGGGAATAGGGGAGTTTTGTGTGTCTGTCTGTGTGTTCGAGTGAGAGCGAGAGAGACAGTCCAACATAAAACATTTGGAGGATTAAGTCTTTGAGTGTCAATTTTCTTGTAGAGCTCTAGCTACTACTGGCGCGTTGTTTGTAAATTTTATTGATGGTTTTATTGACTGATTACATAAAAAGAGTTTGCGCTGACGGTGTTAACCTTTCTAACTGTTATGTTTGTGGGCCTGACTACCGCTGCACGTTAGTCTTGCACGAAATTTTCTTAAAGTAGTCCGGAATTGCTTAGAAAATTGCTTGGAGCACATGTTAAACAGTCTAGGATTTGGTTTTTTCACAGCCTATATCAACATGACTTGGTGTATTTTGTATCATCTTTCATTAAGAAATAATAAGAGTTAAGAGTTGGTGACATGACGTGAATTTCCTTCACTTCCCCATGTTAAATTCTGTGTTTTTTCTTTTTCGTTATTATTGCTTTCATTAAACATTGCCTCATAACTCTAATGTTTCTGAATATCGATGGGGTTTGAGGTTTAACGTTCTTTTGATTGTATATCATGCAGGATGTTACAGTCATTTTCAGAAGAAGGGGAGGGGATGATCTGGAACAAAGCCATACTCAATGGGCGAAGACTATTAGATCTTCTCCAGACGTTATTGAGATGTCGTTCGTTCCTATCATTCTCCTCCTTGAAGGGGTTAAAGGGAGGGATCATTTGGCACGGGCTATAAGTCTTTATCTTGAATGTAAGACACTTTATCCTTCAAAGACGTACATACAAAAGCAGCGAGTTTCGTAGTTTTTGGTGGTGATAAGTAATCCAAGTTGCATGAATTCTTGCAGACAAACCTCAAATTGAGGAGCTTAGATATTTCCTGGAGTTTCAGGTCCCAAGAGTATGGGCTCCTGTACATGACAGACTTCCTAATCAACATAGAAAGGAGCCTGTTTGCCCATCTCTTCAGTTTAGCATGATGGGGCAAAAGCTTTATGTTAGCCATGAACAAGTACGTTAATGTCTTTCGATCTAAATTTAAATTTTACTGGTTGATGCTAACGTACGTATAATCTGAAGGATAGATGAAATAAAGCGTTTATCATCATGTGGCCGGCGATCTCATTTTCAAAGGCCTGACTTCTGCTCTTGGTTTTGATCCACTACAGGTGTCAGTGGGACGTAAGCCCGTGACCGGAATGCGGCTATATCTTGAAGGGACGAAGGTGAATCGACTATGCATCTATCTTCAGCATCTTGTTTCTCTTCCTAGGATCCTCCAACCATACTGGGAAAGTCATATAGCAATTGGGGCTCCAAAGTGGCAGGGTCCGGAAGAACAAGACAGTAGATGGTTCGAAGCAGTGAAATGGAAGAACTTCTCACATGTGAGTAGTGCACCAATTGAGAGCCCGGAAATTTTCATAGGAGATCTTTCAGGTGTATACATAGTCACAGGAGCTCAGCTTGGGGTCTGGAATTTTGGTTCGAGAAACGTCTTGTATATGAGGCTCTTGTATTCAAGGTTACCGGGCTGCACTATTAGAAGATCGTTGTGGGATCACACCCCGAATGACAAGTTAAGGAAACAGGCTGATAGCAATGGCGATGAAAGTTCAATTCCAGGACAGAATTTTATAGGCAATAAGTTGGCAAAATTTGTTGACATGACGGAGATGAGCAAGGGACCTCGAGATCCTCCGGGTCATTGGGTTGTCACAGGTGGAAAACTTGGTGTTGATAAAGGGAAAATTGTTTTGAGATTGAAGTATTCTTTGTTAAATTATTAGTTAATTTAGATTTAGAAAGGGAGAGATGGTGATGTATATCGGTGTTCTTGTGTACTCACTTTGTTTGAACCCCAATATAAGGCATTTCGGGAATCGGCCTGATTCTATCTCTTTTCGTTCCGTTTGAAGAAAGAAAGGATCCCAAAGAATCGATCTTTCTTTTCGTTGTTGAATCTATATACTTGGTGGTTTTGGATGGCTAAGTTTCTCAAATTTTGCTGCACAATTGTCTTCTGTCTTGAAGTGTAGTTCTTTTCAGAAAATGTCACTGATCATCTCCTACTTTGTCAAAAAATGACCTTTAATGACTTGGATCCGTCACCTCTGGCTAAAGAGATTATTGTTATTAGTCGAACTCCAATATAGATATTGAAGAAAGTTTCCAAAACTTGCAGAAACACATTCACTATTGTTTCTAGTTCTTGAATACCAAAGCTAAAAAAGAATAATACTCCCTTTGTCTCTTTTTTTAGTTGTTATGTTGTGCTTTTCGAGAATCAATTTTAATTTGATAATTTGAAATAAAAAATTTAGACATTCAAAAACTATACGAAAAGTATTATAAATTGCAACATTTTTCATATCAATATGATGAAAAATTATATCTTTAAATTTAAGTCAAAATTCATATAATTTGGCTCTCAAAAAGAAAACTATGACAACTAAAAAGAGACAAAGGAAATAGTAATATATTCACATCAATTAACATTAGATAACATAACCATGCTTCTACATAAATTACAACTTGTTTCTTTTGTTGTAATTCTTGCCATGTGCTAGTATATTTGTGTGACAGTAAATCAACAGAGGTAGACACTTTCGATTATCATCTTAGATTTTATTTTTTTTTGACAAATAACTTCATACATATTGTTTGAAAAATAATAAAGCCCCCTTGAATTAAATTCATGTCTTAAAACATATGGAGTAATTAACTTGTCTTAGAATTGACCTCCTTGAAAAGTTTGTCCAAATTGCCAATTAGGTGGAGCAACATTGTAGGTGGTTACTATCCTTCCATCACTAGCTATTACTTTGAAAGAAAGACTTTGGCCATTAAGGTATGAGTGACTCTGCCAATTTTGACCCCAATTTCTTGACATCTTTTGCCACCCTGTTTTTGATCCTTTTATGGACACTGATTGGATGTCTCCTGCACCTCCAACGTTAGTTATCAACACTAGGTTGAAGTAGGAATGACCATTAATGGTGAACCTCATTCCTCCTTTCTTCATGCAAGGCACCCTGCCATACCATAACAAAATCTGCTTTAGACAATTAGTTACCGACATTAGTTAATTGTTATTGGATCCAATGTTGCTATAGGCTTTATGGACATTTACAAAGACTAATTGTCTCTAAAAAACATATATTTAGCGGAAATTAAATTATAACAGTTTTTTTTTAACCCTCCCTAGGAGCTCCTACCCTTTTTGCTCCCTTGGTGACTTGAACTCGCAACCTTCGGGTTGAAAGTGAGGGGTGCTTACCATCCGAGCAACTCCCTCTCGTCAAATTTTAATAGTTAAAATTGTTGCTAAAGATAATTTTTTGATTAGTTCCGAAGGGAAAATGCTCAAATATGCCATCAAACTTCTATGCCATCCGTCAAAAGGTTTGGCTCATTTATATCATTATTTGTTAACAGAGATGGCGTAGATGAGCCAAGCTTTTAACTAATAGCATTATGAGCCCTTTTCTCAAAGTTTAATGGCATATTTGAGTCTTTTCTTTTTTTTAAAAAAAATGATTAATTAGTGACATGGCCGAATGTCAAAAGAAGTTTTGCAAAATCTAAATTGTTTTCAATTAACAAAAAATATCACAGATGAACCTTTTTATCAAATGCAAATGACCCAAACTTTTAATAGATGATATAAATGAGCATTTTCTCGTCATATTAAAGTATATATGAAAAAAAGAAAAATAGATCAAAAATGAATTTTGTCACATTAAAGTAAGTGTATATGGAAAAAGAAGTTGATGGTGTAAAAGTTGTAACGAACTACCAATTAAAGACAATGTTATACTAATACCTTCTATAGATGACAGGGACAATGCCAGCTCTATATAGAGCAATTTTCAAGAAAGCAGGCTGAGCCAAATCAAAGTGTCGAAGAGGGGGATTACACCAGCCACCATTGTTATTAGCCAGGGCGTAGTTTGGTGGGCAAAAGTTGGTGGCTGTGACTGTGATTGTACCACGTAGACACCATCGACGGTCCGCATTGACATTGCACTTGAGTTCATAGCAAGATCCACAACTCAACCCACTATTAAACAGTACAGTGCTCAAAGCTGCAGTATTTGTACCATAACCTTGGCTGTACAAGTTTCCGTATCCACATGCTCCTCCTGCAACAAGATAATTAAAGTTAAATTTTAATAAGAGGCCTTAAATCTTTTTTCTATAGTTGACATGTATAAATTGAATACATGAAGACTAACGACAGGTTATATACGTAAATAAGTACATACCCATGGTACCGGAAGCATCAGAACCGCCATAGAATGTTGCATGAGCATTCTTCCAACCAGTATAAACTCCGAGTCCATAAGAGTACTGTTGTACACATGCAAGAAAAAATAGGAAGAGAAATGGCAAATGATGACATTCAATAGCCATTTTAATTTTGGTGGTGAATGGTGTTGTACTAGTTAATTACTTAAATTGGAGGAGGATTGAATATGGTTGGGAAATTGAGATACAAGGAAATGAGGCTAATGCATGCCTATTTATAGTATTATTAACTAAACTCTTAGCCTGTTTTATTTTGCTCCCTAGCTACTCTAGCAGGACCCCTCCCCCTGTGGGTCGGCCCCCATGAACTTTTTTGACAACTTATAATTTTTTTTAGGTTTTATTAGTGTTATTTGGTTGGGAACAAGTTATATAGAAATTATTTCAGGATAAATTATAGTGGGAATGGGATAAGTTATTAACTTCACCATGTACATATAATAATGTATCTCATCACTAAGGTATAAATAATCTCATGACTATCTAATCAAACACACGATAAAATAGTCCTACATATTATCCTTAGAATTATTATACCTAATTATATATATATATATATATATATATATATATATATATATAAGGCATACATTAGAAGTGAACGGTTATCAAGTTTGAACCGGACAAGAACCTAACCAACTAACCAAGTGATTGAATTTAATTCATATAATACAGTAACAAAAACCATGCATTTATGTTTTCTTTTAATTTTCATTATTTAATTGTGGGACCCTGAACTCTTTTTCTTCGTGGTCTGGCAAGGTTTTAATTAGATAAAAATTACCTAATTGGTCAATGAATAATTAAGCCAAGCACCGCACGTGCTAATTTAGTAATTGTCCTTATTATTATTCTTCTATGACAAACAAAAATATCAATAAACAAAATATCATGAACTCAAGAATAAAGCAAAAAAATCTTCAGTTTTTTTTCTTTTAAATATTTTCATTATTACAGCCTTTATTATCATCAAGTTGATACCAAAATTTGCCCCTTTCGACCGACAATATAAAAAAATTAGACATAAAAAAACTATATTTTCAAGTCACATGTATTGTTGCAGCAGATAATTTTCCTTAATTTAAAAATTAAAATCCTATTTCTGATGGAGAGTTACTGGTAAGTTTTTTGTTTTTTGTTTTTTGGGTTGTATATAGAGTATTATAAACTAAACTCTTAGCCTGATTAGCAAACAAAAAAAAGTTTATCCCCGAATAACTTTTACAGGGAAAATTATATAACAAGGTAATTATTTATGATAAATCATTATAGTTTAAAATATTATAATTTATAGCTATATGTAGGGTTTAATAATAAATTTCTCTCTTCTCTCTCCCTTTGTGTCTCTCTCTCTCCTGCCCAAACAGTTGCAATCCAAAAAAATATATTCCACATAAATATGACATTTGTATTTTATATTTTGTATTATGTATTAAATATATTTGTATTCCGTATCATCTGTATTTTGTATTATGTATCAACTGTATACATATTCTGTATCAATTATATTATGACAATTTGTATTTTGTCAATTGTACACAAATAGTGTTTGTTAATACAACTGATACGATTATATTCAATATATAATATAAATCAATTGTATTTAGATAATTATATTTATATTTTTTTTTCAATATTTGTATTTGTATTATGTATCAATTGTATTCATAATACAACGAATACAACATGTATTCATCCTCTCTCCTCTCGATCTCCATCTTGTTCGCCTCTCTCCTCCCTCTCTTGATCTTGCTCGTCTCTCTCCTCCTAAAATGAATACAATATACAAATCAATTGTATCAATTGTATTCGTGATATAATGATTTGATACAATGAATACAACAAGTATTCAACCTCTCTTACCTCTCTCCTCTCTCCTAGTCTCGCTCGCCTCTCTCCTCCCCCTAGCATGCAACTAAAAATTCATAATTAAATAAACTATTTTCCCCAATAACCAAATACTTTTGTCTGTAAATACTGCAGATTTGATTCCATCCATAATTCTATTTTCTTTCCTATGAGTTATAGTTATATCTAATTAAGCTCAAATTATAGTTATTTTTTTAAAATTGCCTGAAAATTGATTAGTACTCCATCTGTCCCAATTTATATGATTTACTTTCCTTTTAGGTTAGTCCAAAAAAGAATAACACATTTCTATATTAAGTAACAATTTAACTCTAAAAATGTTTATTTTACCCTTAATGAAATGATTTATAGCAACAAAAATTCCTATCATTCATTTTAGACCACAAGTTTTAAAAACCTTCATTTCTTTCTTCAACTCCGTGCCAAGTCAAACTATCTCACATAAAATGAGACGGAGGGAGTAACATTTTGTCAAGATGCAGTAAATTAAATTACTCCCTCCATTGCATATTAATTGAATTTTTGAGGTGTTTCATACCCTTTAAGAAAAGTAGATTAAGACATAAATTGAACATAGTTTTCCATTTTTACCCTTATTAATTATTGTCAAATTTATTGAAGTCATCACCTTGAAAATTCAAATGAAGGGTAAAATTGGAAGAGTACTCTAAAAGTAATCTTGAAAATTGAATAATTAAGTTAATTTAAAAAATAAAAATACCTTAAAAATTCAATTAATATGAAATGGAGGAAGTATTAGAAAAGGCATAAATAAAATTTTTATAGAAAGAAAACAAAGATCTCCTCTAAAGTTGAATAAAGTAGTTGTTGTAGTAATGATTTGTGGGATGGTTTAAACGAATCACAGAAATGGAGGCTAAAAAAGTTGCAATTTCTTGGACGGCCGATTTGTCACATGTTGAAGGATGACGTGTCATTGCTGACCTGTCCTTTCCCGGGTTTCATGATAATCCTCAAAGTCAACACCCAAAAACACAACTACTAACTTTTATATTGCCACCAAAACACTTCAGCAACACAAATATAGTATTTGATGAGCTTAATTACATAAATCAGTATTCATTGTCATGTTTATTAAAAATAATTATTTCAAAATATTTGTTGTTAAGAAATAATTGAATCATTGTTTCCCTTTTAACCTGAATTAATATTAATTGAAATTTAAGAAGGAAAAACTACATAATAAGGCAATATATGCCATGTATTAATAAAATTATATTTCACAGCTATATTATCCAATTAATAGCTACTTTCTAATTTAAAAGTGTATCTTTCAATTAGTATATTTTTAGGCTTAATTCTAGGCATTGTACTTATATATTATTTATCTTTCCTATTTTCTCTCTCCAAATTAGTGTATATAGCCCCAGATTAACGCATTATTCCCTCTTTCAAGGATGATTTCTTTTTCATGGACGATTCTTTTAATGACGCTGCACTTCCTTTTCCTTTCTTCGAGAAATTGGCACTATCATTGGCTTGAGATGATTTACGAAATTTCATTGTCAGCCATGAGAGAAAATTTTGAAGCTTAAGTTCAAATTACGTATTCATAAAATTATTACTAAAATTAATGAGGGATTGTTTTGAAAGATTGGATATATTACGAGAAGTTCATATATCGAATTTGAGGGATTGTTGGCGCAAATTTGGAGACTTTTCAAGGAATCAAACACATATATACATTCTATTCATGTATTAAAGTACTAGAGAGGCTATAGCCCGTGTCTAGCACGGGCCCAACACTGTCAAATTTGTGACATGAAACTCAAAATTACACTAAATAGCAGAATTCTATCATTATCGATATTTACATGTTATCAGTAAGTGCACGTGTAATAAAAGAGGTATAACCACTCGGGTGTATGTTTTCCTAACTAAAAACACTTAGCTATAAACTATCCTTGCAAATGAAAATTGATACTCAAGCAATTGAGCATTTTAAATTCATTCAGATACACATTACCAGGAAGCTATTGTTAACATGTGAAAAATATCTTTTGCATACATAATTGTGCTTAATAAGATACTTATCTCTACTACATGTAAAAAATACAAGTACATTATCAAAAATACTATTAGACATATCAAATGTATGTATCTTCAAATGTGTCTTGATTCATTGTTTCAATGAGCTGGAGCTACACTCCATGCCTTGGTAGCCATCCTTGGCTATTCCAGAAACCACATAGCAAAGAAGTATTTTGAGGTACCTTCAGAAAGCTTGTAAAAATCAATCAGCTGAAGAAAATTGAACTTAAGAGGGCTGCAAAAATAAAATTAGAGAGTTATACAATAAAAGATGCATTTGTCAAAAGTTATTATACCATATTGTCAACAGATTTTCATAGACTATAAAATGAACAACTAAAATACCCTTGGACTGCTATAATCTACTATTGATAGCAGTCAAAATTCTTAAACCAAAGTAACTATTGTTTTGGAAGTTGAATGAGTAATAAGCTCTTTCAAAAATAAATATAGAACAACAGCTAATAAGTTAGAGACTCAGTGCGTTGTTTAACCAAAAACTTCTCTTTTATCTCTAAATTGATTTCCATCAACAACAACAATTAAACCACTTTAGAAAATCTAAAGTAGAAACTTCAGACCCACAAATTGCTACAGTAAATGAAACTATGTAGCTATATCCGGACATTAATATCAAAACACTAATATGAGAAATACATATAAGCACATAATAAGCTAAAATGAATTCAATCTGATGAACCATTTTCATACCATACTTTCTTCTTCATTAGGACCGACTCTTCTTTTTTATTAACATAATTAACTATCAAGCAAAAGTTTGTTCAAGGATTAACTCCTTATTCACTAGACTAATACTCTAGTCATATTAAAATCTACATTAGCACAAAATCGCACAAGTACTACAAGAAATTATACAATAAATGAGATGTATACCCTTTAATATTTCATTCCTCATAGATTCTTTCCTGATGTTATTAACCTTTAGTCTCAGATTGTAGTTGGAATGTAGCTAATTAGGACCACATTTATAATTTGACCTTGAGGAATAACGTCTCTACATTATATATATACTCCAACAACTCTAATCTTATTATATTTCTACGTCTCAGAAATCCATTTTCTCTAGTCTACCTCACTCCAACACATTAATTTGCTATAGAATTATGTTTGCAATATTGCTAACTACGGATAGATGTAGTTCCTACGCGTTCAATTGGATCTAATATGTTTAACACAAAGGTTAAATACATATGTGAATAATTAAAAAAATCAACTATGTTTTGAGCCCATAATTACAGAAACT